GAGGCAACATGTTTCCTGCCAAAGGAACTGAGCATAGGAGTAATCAGAACCAAAACCCTCTTGATTTCAGTAACGGACGACACACGGGCTCTCCAGGCTATAGTGGTCATGACTACAATCAACACAGACTTGTTCCGAAGACTAGCTCGTTTACAGGTATAATGCGACGCCGTGTTACACGTTTAGTTCTTGCCAATATAACAGCAGATAGACCGTTCGAGTTAGGTGAACAAGGAATTCGAGAACACTGTCGCGAGAATGGTGTAGTGGTAATATTTGTAAAGCTATTAAAAATGAAGGAGGAAACCAAATTCCGCATACCATCGTATACCGTTAAAGTGAATACTACTGCGAGAGATACGTCGACGGTATTAGATCCAAACTTCTGGCCAGAAGGGGTTACTTGCCGCGAATGGATTTCCCGTGTAGCGAATGAAAACAGAGGTTTCTCATAATGATTCTAACTATTAAATACACTTCCTTATATGTTGTTATATTTGCACTATTTCCAGTCATGATAAATTTGTGTACATGGAATTCTAGAGGTGTGATGTATGGGACATCATTTTTAACGGAACATTTAAAGAACACCGACATATTTGTAGTATGTGAGCACTGGCTTAACGATACAACCTCGGGTTTTTAGAACATTTCGACTTTAAAAGTCACTGGAACTATAAAACAGGATACTGTGTCGTTACGTGGGTCTGGAGGTGTGGCGATTCTATCAAGAATGTCAAAATTTAAGATAATTCGTAGAATTGTCACCGAAAACTCGGACAACATAACAGCGGTTTGTTAGAGAAGTCAAAAATCGGAACGGCTATTTGTGCTCTTGCCTTCCATTAACAAAACGGACAAACAGTATTGTGACAGTATAAACGAGTTATTTGCGTTATATGATCAATGTTATGATGGTACAACAATCGTGTGTGGAGATCTTAATGCGGACGCGTCATCCAACAATTACAGATCCAGAATATTACTTCAACACTCGACTGACAGAAACATGATTAATGCTGTGAATCTGACTATCCGAACGGGTCCGGCATACACATGGACAAATAAGCACCACACATCAAAAACACTGATAGATTATATAGCTATTCCAGCATACTTGGAGACCTTCATTAGATCGTGTAACGTTGACAGTACATGCTCGTATAAAATTTCTGACCATCTTCCAATACTCGTCTCGCTTTCAACTTAGTATGTATTCAACCCAAGTGGAAGAGTCGCTCACCATTCTTCAACTGGATTTGTCTTCAATCAAATGTATGTCCTTAGAAAAATGTCTTGAAAATACAATAAACATTTTTAAGTCGGCATCTGAAGTGAACATTCCTGTCGGGAAATTTAAGATGTGTTTAAAACCGTACTGGTAAAAGTATCAACTTAACTATCACCATTATAATATGAGGGCAGCGAGACGCTTATGGATAGCGGACGGAAAACCAAGGGCGGAATCAAATGTGATGTACCAAATATATAAAGACAGGAAACGAGAATTTAGAAAACAAGAACGCTATGCGACAAAGAAATGGAACAAGGAAAAACAAGATGAACTGTTGAATTCGGCTGAAATAGATATTCAGGAGTTTTATAAAACTGTAAGAAAACAACGTGGCAAGACGCCTATTGATAAACCTCTCATCTACAAAGACACGGTGGCCACAGATGATCGGACAAAGTGTAGTTTATGGGCTCAGTATTACGGTGATTTATTGTCAGCGGATACAGAGGAGTTAATTGACACGCACTTTAAAGCCGAGGTTAATAACAAAATTCAAGAGCTTTTATGTTCAAAATCTTTTACCATTGTAGATAGTGTGCTTGAAGGGGAAATATCAGAAGATGAACTGCAATTTCAAATAAGAAAACTGAAAACTGGTAAGTCCCCAGGGCTTGATGGAATCTGCAATGAACATATAAAATATGGCGGAAGAACCCTTGTCAAATCACTGTGCATTATTTTCAATATTATAATGTCAAGTGAATATGTTCCACAAAGGTTTAAGGAAGGAATAGTGATACCAGTTTTCAAAGGTGGGAATAAAAATCCTAAAAATCTAGAAAGGATAGAGAAATGGATTATACAGAACAAGGTTGATTTTCCACATTCTCTACAGTTTGGATTTAGAAAAAATATGGGAGCGATCCCAGCTATCTTCATGTTAAAAGAAATAGTGTCCTTCTATACCGAATTGAAATCTTCGCTTTACATCGCTTTTTTAGATAACGAGAAGGCGTTTGATAGGGTATGGCTGAATGGTCTCTTTTATAAAATGTATGAACTTGGTATACGCGGCCGGATGTGGAAAATTATCTTCAACTCTTACATGCACACAAAAGTATGTATTCGACTAAAGGGAGAGCTAAGCAACTTCGTACACGTGACGCGCGGTGTCGGTCAGGTAAAAGTTCTCAGCGCTTTTATGTTTAAACTGTATATTGACGGATTGATGAAGGCTATATATGAAACAAAATGTGGCATAAACATTGTGGATAGACATATACCTGGTATTTTACTTGCTGATGACACCTGTCTGATATCTTCTAGTAAAAACGGTTTACAAAACTTAATTGAAACATCAAGAATGTTTGCCTTCAAATGGTAATTGAAATATGACGCGTCCAAGAGTGTTATAATCGTGTTTAACAACAGAAACCAATCTGCAAAATATGACTTCTCAATGGGAGAAAATAGAATAGAAACAAAGGAAAGTGTGATATACGCAGGAACTGTCATATCCAACATTAATCCTGTAAATAAATGCCTGGACAGGGCTTGCCAAAAAAACTACAAAGATCATTTCATTCTCTTCGATTTGGAGAAATTACTCCGATAGCGTCTTCTCTTATCTGGAAACGTGTCATTTTACCCGCCAGCATGTATGTATGTGAGACGTGGGGAGTAGCGCGCCAGAGAAGTTTGGATAAACTTAAGGTAACCCAACAGAAGTGCTGTCGAATCCTTCAAGGATTTGACAAAAATTCCCCGTCAGAGAGTACCATTGAAACTCTTGGAATTTGTAGGCTGACACACTACATAGATAAGTACCGATTACTGTTTTTTGGAAGACTGTGTTTGACAGATATCATCAAAATACACAAACAGTTGTTTAATTTCAACTTAGGAATGTTTCTCATTTTTGGATCATTCGAATGCACGGACATCTTTCGAACACTGATTACTACGGTTTATAAATATGGTCTTGAAGAATATCTGAATAGTTTTATTAAATACGTCTGCTTTCCTGCTAAAATCGCTAGGAAATATATTGTAAACAATGCAGTATCAGAGACGTCTGAACTTGAATGGAAACAGCGTATACTAAGGCGTCCAGATCTTACTCGTTTCCAAACCATACATCCAAGAATCGCTCCGCACAAACTGTGGTTACTGTGTTTGGACTTACAGAACATGTGCAGAGAATTTGGATTTCTTGTGAAACTTGGAGCAGTACCTAGAACAAAGTTTATCTGTGACTCGTGTAAGCAAAATGCGGATGATATTGTGAAACATTTAGTAATTGACTGTCGTATATATTTTGACGAAAGAGACAGACTACAAACAACTATTGTGAATCTACTTCCGGTTGTACAGAGTGTCAGTATTTTGAATGATGATGACAGGCTTATAAACTTCCTTCTTGGAGGGGATGATGATGATATGTTGGAAGTTAGTCCCGAACACTGGAAGATGCTAATGGTGGAATCCGCAAGGACATTCTATAAAATGAAACCAGTGCTGGTGCATTGGCTGCACCGCCTGTAGTGTAATTCAGCCATATTTAACACATATTGTAAAATTTATGAACTCTAAGAATGAACAGTTAATTGAAAAAAAGATAATGACATCTAAAACAATGTCAATGCATATTTAAATTCTTTCTTTACATTATCTGTTGAATTAATCTTCATGCATTGGAGGAAATAAATATATTCAATTCATATCAATGTATACAGTATACCATTTCTTTCTATACAGTATACCATTCCCCTGTACGCAGTATACCATACGCCTGTACATAGTATAAAATTCCCCTGTATACAGTATACCATACCCCTGTATACAGTTTACCATACCCCTGTATACAGTATACCATACCAAGGTATAGAGTATACCATACCCAGGTAAACAGTATACCATTCCCCTGTATACAGTATACCATACCCCTGTATACAGTTTACCATACCCCTGTATACAGTATACCATACCCCTGTATACAATATACCATACCCCTGTATACCGTATACCATTCCTTTCTATACAGTATACCATTCCCCTGTATACAGTATACCATACCGCTGTATACAGTATAACATACCCCTGTACACAGTATATCATTCCCCTGTATACAGTATACCATACCCCTGTATACAGTATGTCATACCCCTGTATACCATGCCCCTGTATACAGTATACCATACCCCTGTATACAGTATACCATACTCCGGTATACCATGCCCCTGTATACAGTATACCATACTCCGGTATACCATGCCCCTGTATACAGTATACCATACCCCGGTATACCATGCCCCTGTCTACAGTATATTATACCCCTATACACTGTATACCATACCCCGGTATACCATGCCCTTGTCTACAGTATATTATACCCCTATACACTGTATACCATACCCCGGTATACCATGCCCTTGTCTACAGTATATCATACCCCTATACACTGTATACCATACTCCGGTATACCATGTCCCTGTCTACAGTATATTATACCCCTATACACTGTATACCATACTCCGGTATACCATGTCCCTGTCTACAGTATATTATACCCCTATACACTGTATACCATACTCCGGTATACCATGCCCTTGTCTACAGTATATCATACCCCTATACACTGTATACCAATGTCATTTACCTTGAACTTAGTACACCTGTATATATTGTTATTACAACACTGATATTCCAAACCTAAGATATCTAAGTTGATAATGAGCTCTTATTTCAGACTTGTACACACAGTAACATGGGTAATAACGTGAATGTTGCGGGCCTAGCAAACGAATTCCAAGTTTCTGAATCAGAAATTTTAGAACTGAAGAGGATTTACAAAGAGAATTGTGGGAAAAGCCGGTTTCTGTCTCGAGAGAAATTCCGAAAAGTGTACAATAAAGTGTTTCCAGGAGACGCCTCCGCGTTTGCTGACATCATGTTTAATAAGTTTGATACAGACAATAACGGCAGAGTCGATATGAGGGAGTTCATTGTCGGACTTTTAATGAGTGACGCAAAAAACCTAGACCAAAAAATAAAATTTGCCTTCGAAATGTATGATATCGATAAATCTGGGACAATCTCTCGGGATGAAGTTATACAGATTTCAGAGGTAAGCATTGTAAAGTAAACAATGACAACAGTGTCTCCATAGAAATATTACAGGTAAGTATGGTGAATTTATTGTAGATATAAAGGTAAGTATTGTGGATTTATTTTAGATATCAAAGGTAAGTATGGTGAATTTACTTTAGATATCAAAGGTAAGTATTGTGAATTTACTTTAGATATCAAAGGTTAGTATGGTGAATTTACTTTAGATATCAAAGGTTAGTATGGTGAATTTACTTTAGATATCAAAGGTTAGTATGGTGAATTTACTTTAGATATCAAAGGTTAGTATGGTGAATTTACTTTAGATATCAAAGGTTAGTATGGTGAATTTACTTTAGATATCAAAGGTAAGTATTGTGAATTTACTTTAGATATCAAAGGTTAGTATGGTAAATTTACTTTAGATATCAAAGGTTAGTATGGTGAATTTATTTTAGATATCAAAGGTTAGTATGGTAAATTTATTTTAGATATCAAAGGTTAGTATGGTGAATTTATTTTAGATATCAAAGGTTAGTATGGTAAATTTATTGTAGATATCAAGGTAAGTATGGTAAATTTATTGTGGATATCAAGGTAAGTATTGTGAATTTACTTTAGATATCAAAGGTTAGTATGGTGAATTTATTTTAGATATCAAAGGTTAGTATGGTAAATTTATTTTAGATATCAAAGGTAAGTATGGTAAATTTATTTTAGATAGCAAAGGTTAGTATGGTAAATTTATTTTAGATATCAAAGGTTAGTATGGTGAATTTATTTTAGATATCAAAGGTAAGTATTGTGAATTTATTGTAGATATCAAAGGTTAGTATGGTAAATTTATTGTAGATATTGTAGTTAAGTATCGTAGATTCGTTGATATTTTAGAGGTAAAGATCTCAAAATTAATTTAAAGTTTGTTTACTGATATTATTGTTTTTATTTGTATTAAATATTCAAATATGCCATTAATTACAAAAAAATGTTGTCGCCCAATCAGTGCCTGATTTGTTTCCTCCTCAGGCCTACTCGCGGATGTATAACACAGAGGAAGGTACTACCGTCGCTGACAGATTGTTTAGATATATGGACAAGAACAATGACGATGAGATATCTTTCGAGGAATTCGACGAAGCAGCGCGGTCCAATACAGAAATCCTCAACCTTCTCTTCCCCAAACCCCCTGAACAAGTGTAATGATGGTTCGTCTTATCAACCTTCTCTTCCCCAAACCCCCTGAACAAGTGTAATGATGGTTCGTCTTATCAACCTTCCCTTCCCCAAACCCCCTGAACAAGTGTAATGATGGTTCGTCTTATCAACCTTCCCTTCCCCAAACCCCCTGAACAAGTGTAATGATGGTTCGTCTTATCAACCTTCCCTTCCCCAAACCCCCTGAACAAGTGTAATGATGGTTCCCAAACCCCCTGAACAAGTGTAATGATGGTTCGTCTTATCAACCTTCTCTTCCCCAAACCCCCTGAACAAGTGTAATGATGGTTCGTCTTATCAACCTTCTCTTCCCCAAACCCCCTGAACAAGTGTAATTCCCAAAACCTCCTGAACAAGTGTAATGATGGTTCGTCTTATCAACCTTCCCTTCCCCAAACCCCCTGAACAAGTGTAATTCCCCAAACCCCCTGAACAAGTGTAATTCCCCAAACTCCCTGAACAAGTGTAATTCCCCAAACCCCCTGAACAAGTGTAATTCCCCAAACCCCCTGAACAAGTGTAATGATGGTTCGTCTTATCAACCTTCTCTTCCCCAAACCCCCTGAACAAGTGTAATGATGGTTCGTCTCATCAACCTTCCCTTCCCCAAACCCCCTGAACAAGTGTAATGATGGTTCGTCTTATCAACCTTCTCTTCCCCAAACCCCCTGAACAAGTGTAATGATGGTTCGTCTTATCAACCTTCTCTTCCCCAAACCCCCTGAACAAGTGTAATTCCCCAAACCCCCTGAACAAGTGTAATGATGGTTCGTCTTATCAACCTTCTCTTCCCCAAACCCCCTGAACAAGTGTAATTCCCCAAACCCCCTGAACAAGTGTAATGATGGTTAGTCTTATCAACCTTCTCTTCCCCAAACCCCCTGAACAAGTGTAATGATGGTTCGTCTTATCAACCTTCTCTTCCCCAAACCCCCTGAACAAGTGTAATTCCCCAAACCCCCTGAACAAGTGTAATTCCCCAAACCCCCTGAACAAGTGTAATGATGGTTAGTCTTATCAACCTTCTCTTCCCCAAACCCCCTGAACAAGTGTAATGATGGTTCGTCTTATCAACCTTCTCTTCCCCAAACCCCTTGAACAAGTGTAATTCCCCAAACCCCCTGAACAAGTGTAATGATGGTTCGTCTTATCAACCTTCTCTTCCCCAAACCCCCTGAACAAGTGTAATTCCCCAAACCCCCTGAACAAGTGTAATGATGGTTCGTCTTATCAACCTTCTCTTCCCCAAACCCCCTGAACAAGTGTAATTCCCCAAACCCCCTGAACAAGTGTAATGATGGTTCGTCTTATCAACCTTCTCTTCCCCAAACCCCCTGAACAAGTGTAATTCCCCAAACCCCCTGAACAAGTGTAATGATGGTTCGTCTTATCACCCTTCTCTTCCCCAAACCCCCTGAACAAGTGTAATGATGGTTCGTCTTATCAACCTTCTTTTCCCCAAACCCCCTGAACAAGTGTAATTCCCCAAACCCCCTGAACAAGTGTAATGATGGTTCGTCTTATCAACCTTCTCTTCCCCAAACCCCCTGAACAAGTGTAATTCCCCAAACCCCCTGAACAAGTGTAATGATGTTTCGTCTTATCAACCTTCTCTTCCCCAAGCCCCCTGAACAAGTGTAATTCCCCAAACCCCCTGAACAAGTGTAATGATGGTTCGTCTTATCAACCTTCTCTTCCCCAAACCCCCTGAACAAGTGTAATGATGGTTCGTCTTATCAACCTTCCCTTCCCCAAACCCCCTGAACAAGTGTAATGATGGTTCGTCTTATCAACCTTCTCTTCCCCAAACCCCCTGAACAAGAGTAATGATGGTTCGTCTTATCAACCTTCTCTTCCCCAAACCCCCTGAACAAGTGTAATGATGGTTCGTCTTATCAACCTTCCCTTCCCCAAACCCCCTGAACAAGTGTAATGATGGTTCGTCTTATCAACCTTCTCTTCCCCAAACCCCCTGAACAAGTGTAATGATGGTTCGTCTTATCAACCTTCTCTTCCCCAAACCCCCTGAACAAGTGTAATGATGGTTCGTCTTATCAACCTTCCCTTCCCCAAACCCCCTGAACAAGTGTAATGATGGTTCGTCTTATCAACCTTCTCTTCCCCAAACCCCCTGAACAAGTGTAATGATGGTTCGTCTTATCAACCTTCTCTTCCCCAAACCCCCTGAACAAGTGTAATTCCCAAAACCTCCTGAACAAGTGTAATGATGGTGCGTCTTATCACCCTTCTCATCCCCAAACCCCCTGAACAAGTGTAATGATGGTTCGTCTTATCAACCTTCTCTTCCCCAAACCCCCTGAACAAGTGTAATTCCCCAAACCCCCTGAACAAGTGTAATGATGGTTAGTCTTATCAACCTTCTCTTCCCCAAACCCCCTGAACAAGTGTAATGATGGTTCGTCTTATCAACCTTCTCTTCCCCAAACCCCCTGAACAAGTGTAATTCCCCAAACCCCCTGAACAAGTGTAATGATGGTTCGTCTTATCAACCTTCTCTTCCCCAAACCCCCTGAACAACTGTAATTCCCCAAACCCCCTGAACAAGTGTAATGATGGTTCGTCTTATCACCCTTCTCTTCCCCAAGCCCCCTGAACAAGTGTAATTCCCCAAACCCCCTGAACAAGTGTAATGATGGTTCGTCTTATCACCCTTCTCTTCCCCAAGCCCCCTGAACAAGTGTAATTCCCCAAACCCCCTGAACAAGTGTAATGATGGTTCGTCTTATCAACCTTCTCTTCCCCAAACCCCCTGAACAAGTGTAATGATGGTTAGTCTTATCAACCTTCCCTTCCCCAAACCCCCTGAACAAGTGTAATGATGGTTCGTCTTATCAACCTTCCCTTCCCCAAACCCCCTGAACAAGTGTAATGATGGTTCGTCTTATCAACCTTCTCTTCCCCAAACCCCCTGAACAAGTGTAATGATGGTTAGTCTTATCAACCTTCCCTTCCCCAAACCCCCTGAACAAGTGTAATGATGGTTCGTCTTATCACCCTTCTCTTCCCCAAACCCCCTGAACAAGTGTAATTCCCCAAACCCCCTGAACAAGTGTAATGATGGTTCGTCTTATCACCCTTCTCTTCCCCAAACCCCCTGAACAAGTGTAATGATGGTTCGTCTTATCATGGAGTCATCCTTCTAGATCCATCATCTAACATAAAATGTAAAACCTTCGCTTAATGAGATGAGTTCTATGTACACATTATTTATTGCTACCTTAAAGAAGAATTTGCATATTTTGTATTTATATTGAGCACAAACTGTGGATGCAAAATGCTGAAAGTTGTGACAAGATATATATTTTTATTTTATAGAAAGTAGTATGTAAAGATCATTCCTCAACTGATGTGGAATAAAGAATGAATGTAGACATTTGTCTGATTTAGTTATGATCATGTAATTACACTCGCCAAAGTGGTAATTAATCTACAGTGATAAGTAACATATCACCAAGGTAGCTAGTCTAATAGGATACATTGAATCTTTGAACATATCACCAAGGTAGCTAGTCTAATAGGATACATTGAATCTTTGAACATATCACCAAGGTAGCTAGTCTAATAGGATACATTGAATCTTTGAACATATCACCAAGGTAGCTAGTCTAATAGGATACATTGAATCTTTGAACATATCACCAAGGTAGCTAGTCTAATAGGATACATTGAATCTTTGAACATATCACCAAGGTAGCTAGTCTAATAGGATACATTGAATCTTTGAACATATCACCAAGGTAGCTAGTCTAATAGGATACATTGAATCTTTGAACATATCACCAAGGTAGCTAGTCTAATAGGATACGTTGAATCTTTGAACATTAAAAGTGGTTTAGATAATGAGCTGACAAAATTACAGAATTGAATTCCTGCCACTGTGTTAGATTCCGAGTGTTACGAATAAGATATTCACCAATTCATATCAATTTTTTAACCAAAATGTTGACAATGTGAAGGTGACAATGTGCGGGTGACCATGTGTGGGTGACAATGTGTGGGTGACAATGTGCGGGTGACAATGTGTGGGTAAAAAATGTAAGGGTGACAACATGGGAGTGACAATGTAGGGTTGACAATGTGGGGTGACAATATGCGGGTGACAATGTGTGGGTGACAATGTGGGGGTAAAAAATGTAAGGGTGACAACATGGGAGTGACAATGTAGGGTTGACAATGTGGGGTGACAATATGCGGGTGACAATGTGTGGGTGACAATGTGGGGGTAAAAAATGTAAGGGTGACAACATGGGAGTGCCAATGTAGGGTTGACAATGTGGGGTGACAATATGAGGCTGACAATGTGTGGGTGACAATGTGCAGGTGACAATGTGCGGGTGACAATGTGCGGGTGACAATGTGGGGGTGACAATGTGTGGATGACAATGTGTGGGTGACAATGTGGGTGACAATGTGTGGGTGACAATGTGTGGGTGACAATGTGGATGTGTGGGGGTGACAATATCGGGCTGAAAATGTGGGGTTTGGGTGACAATGTGTGGGTGACAAAGTGGAGGTGACAATGTTGAGGTGGTAATGTGGGGCTGATAATGTGGAGATAAAATTCTGGTTTTGGTATTTTAAGTTATCTGTAAATGTAGGCGTGTAGTTTACGAAATGTTACAGCGTGCCCGTTTGTATCTGTGATGTATTTCACGACTTAGAAACACTGGTCTTAATTTCGTGAAGTCATGTTTTGGTACATATCTCTATACATGTAACTGGTTCATTAGCATTTAAATAAATAGTGAAAATCATCCGAAATGCCGGGGTTATATAATGTACAGATACTCTCTTGACGAGGTTTCTGTTTACACAGGTAAATACACATTTAAATAAATAGTGAAAATCATCCGAAATGCCGGGGTTATATAATGTACAGATACTCTCTTGACGAGGTTTCTGTTTACACAGGTAAATACACATTTAAATAAATAGTGAAAATCATCCGAAATGCCGGGGTTATA